AACTAAAAGAAGGGACGATTTCTCTACTGCTGTTGAGGAAAATATAGGCAGAACACACCTTGACAGAAATGGCAGCAAGTTGTTTATGGATCCACTCTTAGAATAATGAAAAATAAGACATAACTCAGCAGAAGGGCCCTCAGTAACCTGAAAAGCTATTGCCCAGCAAGGAAAACCCTAAAAAAAGAAAGGAAAACATGCAGCATAGGAAAAAAGCAGTTTGCAACCAAACATAAAAAGTCAGAATTTATCTAGAAAACAGGCAGAGAGCTCATAAAGCTCAGTAAAGAGAATAATAAAAAACCCAACCCAATAGAAAATGATGCCAAAGATCTAAATGAATATTTCACTAAAGAAGGCAGCCAGAAGGACATAAAGCGCATAAAAGATGCTTAGCATCACTGTTAGATAAGTGCCAGTCACCTCACACAGGGCAGAATGGCCCTCCTCCAAAAGAGAAACAGAGAGTAAACGCTGCTGGGAAGACGGGATTCTTCTACACTGGGGGCGGGGCTGGCAACGGGCAGGTCAGGTCACAAAGGAAAACAGCATGGAGGTTATTAAACCCCTTTTGACCTTTCCCAAACTCTCCTGGTTGGTGGTGGCTTGTAAGTTCCGTGTTCCTTACCAGGACCTCTTGTCGTAAAACAACTCATGGCAATGGTTAGTATGGTGCCTGGCCAGGGTGGGCGGTCTCAGTCAGTGTGCTTCTCCTAACAGATCCACTTTTAAAATAATGAAAAATTAAACAAAACTCCACAAAAGAGCCTCTAACCTCAAAAGCTTTTGCATTGCAAGGGAAACCATAAACCAAACTTAAAAAAACCTTGGAATGGGGGGAAAAATATTTGCAACTGAATTTAGAAACAAGGAATTTATCTCCAATACATGCAAACAGCTTATGCAGCTCAATATTGAAGAAACAATCAACCCAATAGAAAACTGGGCCAAAGATGTAAATGGACGTTTGTCCAAAGAAGGCATCCAGGTGGCCATAAAGCACCAAAAAATCTGCTCAGCATCAATAATTACTGGAGAAATGCAAATCAAAATGGCAACAAGGTATCACCTCACACGCTCAGAATGTCCATCTTCTCAAAGATCTACAAAGATTAAATGTTGCTGAAGGAGCAGGGAACAGGGAATCCTCCTACACCGTGGGCAGGGAAGTAAATGGGTGGGTGCAGCCATGAAGTAAAACAGTATGGAGGTTCCTTAAAACATTAACTATAGAGTTACCACATGATCTGGCAAGCCCACTCCTTGCCTTAGATCCAGAAGGAAGATTCATTTTAAATGACATGTGCACCCCTCTTTTCAGGGCAGCACTATTGACAATATCAAAGACAGAGCATCAACCAAAATGTCCATCCATAGAGAAATGAAGAGTAACTAGTCCTCTATATACTGGAATACACTCAGCCATCAAAAAGAACGAAAATATGCCATTGACCGCAGCATGGATGGACCAAGAGATTTATCATATTGGGTGAAGTCTGTCAGAGAGGGAAAGAGAAATGTCTTGTCACTTACAGGAGGCATCTATAATTTTATTCAAATGAATTAATTTATAAACAGAAACACACAGACTTAAAAAACCCACTTATGATTATTTTTTATTTTTTAAAAAGGTAGGGGAAGGGAGACATTAAGATGTTGGGATTAATATATACATCAGTTCAGTTTAGTTCAGTCGCTCAGTCGTGTCCAACTCCTTGCAGCCCCATGAATCGCAGCACGCCAGGCCTCCCTGTCCATCACCAACTCCGGGAGTTTACTCAAACTCATGTCCATCGAGTCGATGATGCCCATCCAGCCATCTCATCCTCTGTCATCCCCTTCTCCTGCCCCCAATCCCTCCCAACATATACATAGTACTTATCAATAGATAATCCAAAAGGACCTAGTGAATAGTACACAGAAGTCTACTGAACACATGGAAGGAACCGATATGGGAAAAGAATCTGAAAAAACAACAACAACAAAAAAAAACAGATAAACGTTCATGTATAACTAAACCAAGTTCCTGTATACCTATAACAAACACAACATTGGAAATCAGCTCTTCTCCAAAAGAAAATGAACGCTAAATTACAAAAGAAAAACAACAGTGTAACATTGAGAAGTGCTGTCCCCTAGTGGCCACTTTTGGTAACAACAACTGAAAAACCTGTTCTCACGGGCACGTAATAGTCACCACGTCTGTGGAGCTGTAAGTAAAATACACCCGCCCTCAACAAATGTCCTTCGGTTGGTAACGGAGAAGGAATTCAAAACACAGCAGACAGTCAAGAGGACGATCTCGGGAGGTCAGTTTTACTCTCACTGTTTTCTAAAAAATCACGTGAGCATATTTCAACATGGTGAAATCTTAGAGAAATGCAAATCAAAACTACAACGAGGTATCACCTCACACAGGTTAGAAGGGACATCGGCAAGAGGTCTAAAACCAATAAATGCTGGGGAGGTTGTGGAGAGAAGGGAACCCTGCCACAGTGATGCTGGCGATGTCGATTGTTAGCAGCCAGTACACAGAACAGCGGGGAGGTTTCTCAAGTAAAAAGTGAATGAAATTAGGACACTCCCAGACAGAAAAAGAAACTCCACATTGATTAAAGAGCTAAATAGACGGCCAGTTATCTAAATCTCTTGAGGAACATATAGGTATAATATGCTTTGACATAAATCACAACTTTTTTTGGTCTACCTCTTAGAGTAATGCAAAACAAAACAAAACTAAACAAATGAAAGACCTCATTGACTTTAAAAGCATTTGCTCAGCAACGGGAACCATAAACAGAAAGAAAAAGAAAACCCTCAGCATGGTAAAAATTAAGTGACTATTCATTGTTGAATATTAAGTGCCCATGAGCACAGTTTTTCCAGTTGTTGTGAATGCACTTGAATCATCCAGAAATCATCCCCCTCCCCAGTCCCTGGACAAACTGTCTTCCACAAAACCAGTCCCAAAAATGTTGGGGACTGCTACTCTATAGCATAACAATAAGAATATACCTGACAGAACTCACCACTACAGTAAAAACTGGCTACATATTAAACTTTTTTTTAAATTTTTCAATAATAGCATAATCTTTCTTATATAGAGTTCCAACATCAATACAAATTAAAATACAAAATGTTTTTCAAGGTGAACTAATTAGGTTTTGAGGAAAAAAAATCCAGAAAGAAAACAGCATTTTACTGTTATTTATTTCTAGACAAAATAAGGTTCTCTGGGTATTATTTTAGCCCTGTATTACATGCTTTATCTCTATTTACTGATACTGAGAAGTTTGGAGGTTTTTTTCCCCTAAAATTTAAAATAAAGAACATTTCCTATAAAGGGAAGATCTCAATTAACAAGCTAACTTGTTAACAGGTTAACTTCATAATTAACAAGCTAATTTTATTCTTAAGGAACCATAGTAAACAATATCAAAGACAGAGCATCAACCAAAATGTCCATCCATAGAGAAATGAAGAGTAACTAGTCCTCTATATACTGGAATACACTCAGCCATCAAAAAGAACAAAAATATGTCATTGGCCACAGCATGGATGGACCAAGAGATTTATCATATTGGGTGAAGTCTGTCAGAGAGGGAAAGAGAAATGTTTTGTCACTTACAGGTGGCATCTATAATTTTATTCAAATGAGCTAATTTATAAACAGGAACACACAGACTTAGAAAACCCACTTATGATTATTTTTTATTTTTTAAAAAGGTAGGGGAAGGGAGACATTAAGATGTTGGGATTAATATATACATCAGTTCAATTTAGTTCAGTCGCTCAGTCGTGTCCAACTCCTTGCAGCCCCATGAATCGCAACACGCCAGGCCTCCCTGTCCATCACCAGCTCCCGGAGTTTACTCAAACTCATGTCCATTGAGTCGATGATGCCCATCCAGCCATCTCATCCTCTTTCGCCCCCTTCTCCTCCTGAACCCAATCCCTCCCAACATATACATAGTACTTATCAAATAGATAATCCAAAAGGACCTAGTAAATAGCACACAGAAGTCTACTGAACACATGGAAGGAACCGATATGGGAAAAGAATCTGAAAAAACAACAACAACAAAAAAAAACAGATAAACGTTCATGTATAACTAAACCAAGTTCCTGTATACCTATAACAAACACAACATTGGAAATCAGCTCTTCTCCAAAAGAAAATGAACGCTAAATTACAAAAGAAAAACAACAGTGTAACATTGAGAAGTGCTGTCCCCTAGTGGCCACTTTTGGTAACAACAACTGAAAAACCTGTTCTCACGGGCACGTAATAGTCACCACGTCTGTGGAGCTGTAAGTAAAATACACCCGCCCTCAACAAATGTCCTTCGGTTGGTAACGGAGAAGGAATTCAAAACACAGCAGACAGTCAAGAGGACGATCTCGGGAGGTCAGTTTTACTCTCACTGTTTTCTAAAAAATCACATGAACATATTTCAACATGGTGAAATCTTAGAGAAATGCAAATCAAAACCACAATGAGGTATCACCTCACACAGGTTAGAAGGGACATCGGCAAGAGGTCTAAAACCAATAAATGCTGGGGAGGTTGTGGAGAGAAGGGAACCCTGCCACAGTGATGCTGGCGATGTCGATTGTTAGCAGCCAGTACACAGAACAGCGGGGAGGTTTCTCAAGTAAAAAGTGAATGAAATTAGGACACTCCCAGACAGAAAAAGAAACTCCACATTGATTAAAGAGCTAA